TATTTTTAATTAAACGTAACAGAACGTTCGAAGCGTGCATTAAAACTCTATCTACGGTGAAATAACTGCGATTATTTAGAGTACTTATATCCCGGGTTTGTTAATTATTATTGCGTATTAACGACAATATATTTGTTAAACGTAATAATTAAATCAGAGGGTATGAACAAAAGAATGTTTAATTGAAAAGATTTTAAAGCAAAGGTACATTCCGTGCGAATAATTCTTTGGTTTCATTATTATTAGGAAAAGTAGTATTACCGATTAATCAATTACTTCAATTGAGCGTCGATTCAAACGAAATTAACTAGACTCCAAATTAATACAATTAGAGTAACACGAATGCGTGGCATTTAAGAAGACACGTTATCGGTAATTTTCTTTCAATTGTTTCAATAAAAAAACAACGTTAGCTTTGCATACTCCGCAACAGCCCACATAGCAGGTCAGTATACGCATTTAACGTTACATTATTTCGCTAACTCTATTGAACTTGAACAAAAGTTTGTCTGCGAAGCATGAGAGCTTGATGTCACACCGCCGTCTCTGCGCTGGGAAAACGGACAATCAACTTTACTAATACATACACGTTTGAATACGCGTGTCACGTGCAACCCTAGATCATTGATCAAAATGCAAAAAGACGCGGTACATTTGTGGAAAATTCCTTTGTCCGGCAGTAACGCTCGAGATTCTTGGACAGTATGTTTGTAAATGCGTATTGTTTGTCATCGCTACCGCAACAAACGTCATTAATCTGGACCAATTAATAATATGTATTATGTCATAATAAATGTTGTATATGCAGTAAATAAGTGTTGTTGATATTCATTTTATACCGCATATCATATGTTAAATTATATCATATACACCGAGTTAGGTTTCATTACGATATACTTTCGTTGTTTATTCCACAATAGTAAATGCCTCTGTCCGATCATATATTTATGTAACGTGTCCCACAATTTCTTTACTTGTAAAAAATGAAATGCTTTGCGTCCGAGAAATAAGCATATGGCTCCAATATCTTCATTCGTATTTCTCGAAGCATTTCCTCCGATGAATAAAGGTACAGGCACTTGCTGCAGTTTATTCATACGATCCAATATCTTCATTCACGGCCTTCGAAGCATTTCCTCGATAAATAAAAGAAAAGCAAGAACATCGTTTCTCTTCATTCGCGTTATCCATTAACGTATTGGCAATTTGCAAAACATCCGCGCAAAGGTAGATAATTACATGCCATGTTTCCGTAGTTAAAAAGCAAAAGAGAATAAACGGAATTTATTAATCTTGACGTATTTATATTGTTCCAAGCAATAGTAAATTGTGCAGAATACAAAACAAATGGTACAAATTGCGGAACGAGGCACATGTAGCCAAAAGTTCTTAAATAAAACAATAAAAAATTATAATTTCAAAACTTATTTACATCAAGAAGGGATTTTCACTTTTGCTCAAAATAAAAAATATTAATCGAATTTATCCGTGTCTTATTAATTTGCATTGAAAGCACGCGTCCATAATTCTGAAGCGTGGCAGGCTTCTGGTTGAAAAATTTCTCTTTAGACTTAAATCTCTCCGCGCTTGTCGAGTACAGAGGAGTGAATCGTCGTTGCATAACGACGCAACCCGCATCGTTCGTGCTTCCGAGTCTCGCGCGGGGCTTCCGAAGCGTCGTTTCCCAAGTAACGAGCCATTACTCTCGGTCAGATTGAGGCTGAGGTTGCAGTATGTTTTTTCGATAATTACCAGCGCCCTGTAGCCTTCCCGTCCTGCCCCCGTCTTCCGCGAATGAGAACGTCCACCGCTAATATTAAATCAGTCGGCGAAAAAGTTGGCCGTTACTCCTGATATCGAGCGTCCAATTATTGCGGACGTTAAATCAGTTCGAAGCATTGTTTCCGCCCACAGAGAGGGCCCCTATTAAAAGTTAATGCATTTGTCACACGACTCGCGCCACTACACAGACGCACATGCACAGATGCACGGCGCCCCGCAGGTTGTTAGGTTTTTAATGGATTTATGATTGAGGAGTGCAACCTAAAAAATTCTGAACCTCCACCGGACGAGGGAAACGAGCATCGCAAATGAATACGGTTAATCTCGTTGCGTCCCTTCATCACGAAACAACCGCCGCGTGGGGAGTAGAAAGAGCGAGAGCGAGAGCGAGAGCGAGCGAGCGAGTGAGAGAGAGAGAGAGAGAGGGGGGGGGGAGCGAGGCTTGCACTTCATCAGCTCGCCTTTCTTTTAATAAGCACATCGAGCTTTGCGGTGAGCCCACTCTCTTTCTCGCTCTCTTATTTCTTATTTTCGTTTTTTCCCGCGTCAAAACGTGCTTCTAACCTTTCTACATTTATCACCGCCCACTGCAGCTTAAGCGGCAATTTTGTAGCGCGCTATGCATGTGCTTGCTTCAGCCGCCCCCGGGCAATCCCCTTAATGTGTACTTTTTCTCACTGTCATAATTGAGGAGCCGCCCGAGAAGGAGGCCGCGGCACTATCCCTGGGAATGTTCTTCTCTCATAAATTCCGGCCTTACGCCTCGCAAGTGCGCGCCTTTGTACCTCGGCGCGCCTCGTGTTACGAGATATTAAAAAAAATTTTCGCGATTTTTCATGCGCCCCCGACGCCTTGTACTACACCAACGAGGGCCACCCTGGGGGCTTCCGACTAATCCGTAAGCATAATTTCATCATCGAGGGGCATCTATTTCAATTGGTTTAATTCCCACACGACGCAGCCATCCGTCATGTGGGAATTAAAATTGCTAATTAAAATTTAAAAGGATTCTTAGAAGTTTATTACCAAATTATAATAGATTAAATATTAACATCTCAACGTATCCAAGATGTATACCTAACATTAAAATGTTAAGGTGTATTATTTTACGAATTAAACTTAGTTTCTATTTTTAAATGTAACAAAATATTCGCGGACGAGTAAAGATATCGTTTATGTTAATTATATTATTAATCAGCTTACATAAAACTTGATAAATAAGACACAAAGCGAAATTAATTATTAAAAATATTATCAGTTATTGGCAAAATGTATTAAATTCTTTCTTCGGACTTGTCAATATTAATAATACTTATCCAAAGAGTTCGAAAGAAGAGACTAATTTGCAAGATACATAATTTAATAGGAAAAAAATAATTATTTTACCGCGACGACCAATTAACTTTGCGCGAGATTGTTCAGAAAATACGCTCGCACCCCGGAAGAAATATGCAAATCCGATATCTCAAAAATAAAACGTTTATGCACTTTTCTAAAGAATTTCGACTGAAAACAATCTCCCAACGAGTAGCTGTCATGAATTAAAAGTAAGCATCTCGCGATATCTTGGCAGCTTCTTAAAGCAACTTTTAATAAGCTGGGCGAGTAGCTAATTATATTATCTTTACTTTTAGCTTGGCTCCTATTTGGCATATCTTCATAGCGGCGTTTAATTCCCGCTAAACAAATTTCCGATTCGACGGACTTGCAGTAAAATTTTCATTACGATGAAAGATAGAACAAAAGTTCGCGATATGCAAGCTACTTCGCCTTACGCTCCGAGATGGCATATCTTAAAGTTTATTACAGATATAACATTACGCGATTATGTCATCCTTTTAAAAGGGCAGTTTTATTTTACGATACGATTCATCCTTTCCTATCTTTAGAGTTCTCAGAGATATTTTCAAAAGTTTTTTATAAAAAATACTCTATAAATTCCAATTATCAAATTGATATCATTATACTTGACATAATACCTAAATTACTTTCTTGATTAATATTACGAGTGATTAATCATTATTATTGAAATAAGACAACTTTCTCCCGGCTTTCTATCCTAGGTGCAACTTGTTTTTCTTTAATTACAAGATGTATAAAAAGTGAGAATAAGATGGAATGTATAAAAATGAGTGTTGCTATGATGAATGAGTTATAGTCTTGACTCTCCTATAGATTAAATACGTACGAGAACGTTGTTTTAATTCCATTCTTTTTATTATCCTTACGTTAAATTATCTCATAAAGTATCTTGCTTCTACTTTTCCTCAAATGCTCATTGCATCGTCATTCGAAAAACGTGTGTGTGTACACGTGTAAGTGATGTACATATGCGAGTGCCCGCAGTGAATCGAGCTCGGGTTTGCCAAGCCCAAATGACTGGGCAGATCGGTTATCCCTGCGGGAACTCTAGATACATCAATCGCGACAAAGTCGTCATGTTACCTCTCGAGAGTAAATCCGGACAGTAACGATGGCTCGTTCGTCAACAATTAGCGAAAAAGCAAACATGCGCGAACAAATCCACACAATCACGTCCGGTTCGATCCCCTGGCGCATCGTCGTCGTCGTCGTCGTTCTCGTCAACGTCGTGCTTTTTCCTCATTCCCTCGTCTTTGACATAGCGATCGGCACTTCAGTCCCGGGCACTCTTTTTCCCGCTCGTCAGCCGGTCGAGCACCAAAAAGGAGGACGTTTTGACCGAGGCGCTTTATCGAGGGGCGAGCTGCCCGATCGACAATATCTCGACAATTCACCCTCGAGCGGAACGCTGCTGCCGATTCCGTCCGTTCTCCTCCTCACCATCACGTCCCGCTGCCGCTGCAGCCTCCGTTCTCTCGTCCTTTCGCACTTCTCCTTCTTTCACCCGTTTCTCATATTTTCCTCATTTTATTTCTCCCCGGAAGGAAAGCCGGCAGCCTGTGGCTGCCGTGCATTCGCGCCTCCCACTTTTCCGGCGCGGCGGTCCGCATGTATCAAAGGTACATAATAAATTGAATATTATATCCAACGGCGCGAACGATAGGATGAGAGAGAAAGAGAGATAAGGAGAGACGAGAGAGAGAGAGAGAGAGAGAGGGGGGGGAGGAAAAGGATAGAGAGCTAGGAGAATCAGTGGGAAAGAAGAAAAGCGATACCGTATAGTCCTGCGGGCCTGCGCCATGCGAGTCGAGCGCGTCCCGTCACGACGAGCGTCCCGACGCCGCTCTCTCGACTCGCTCGACGGCGCGGCCAGCTCGGCGCAGTCAGTACACGCGTCCCGACGCCCGGGAATGCGTCCGTCGACGGAGGTGTAGTTTTGCCGCGCGACTCTCACGATCGTGCGGGTGACACTTGGCCGGAAAACGTGCAAAATTCGCGAGTCCACTCGAGGAAAGAGGGGAAAAAATAGTGCGCGGACGAAAGGGGAAAAAAAAGGATACGCGCGTATATGGCGCGCCGTGTCACACTCTTGCCAGTATAATGCTACACTTTCTTCGCGAGGTAATATTCCTCGAGATGGGAGAATTATTAATTTCTTTTTTCTTTCTTTGTTTCTTTCTTTCGCTAAAATTGACAGTGAAGTTAATTTACTTTTACACGCCCTCCGTCAAGCGGCGATATCACGCTCGAGGATTTGAATCCCTTCGGTAGAACCGGAGTGAGTTTGACATGTATAGATAACAGTCCATTGTCGACGCGGATGCGGAGAGTGGTCTTTGTAATTTGGACGACGCACTGTGTGTAAGGCTGAAGCAAAAGGCAGGAGAGGGAAGAGATATGCCCACGTTGGTATGCCACGGTGCAATTGCAGTGCAGTCGCGTTCTTTTTGCGTGATAAGTTGCTCCGGCGCTGAACATGGCAGCCGCGATCTCAAATAAAAATCGACGCGAGTACGCGTAAAACTGGCGTTACTGCGACGTTAACGTAAACGATATTGTTAAAAGGACGTTTTAGAGCATTTTACGCAAGCAGTGAGTTACTGCGCTGTAGTTCACGTTATGCGTGGATGCTGCAGGGAGAAAGAGAGCTCAGATATTCTCTTTCCTTTCTCTTCTTCCGCCCTTTCAACTACACGACTCACATACCGAACGTGTTTCTCTGTGTGCAGAGAAAGAGAAAAAAGTGTAGGTAAATAAAAATACGTTTATAGGGTGCAGTTTTACGAGACAAAGTCTACGAGCCAATATACCTGATGGCTACTAATGGTTCCGATTAATTTATTCTTCGGAGACAAAGCGCAAATTTAACCGAGTGAAATTTAATTTAGAATAATGCTTCTGAATAATTAATATGTTATATTATTCTAAATTGCATTTAGTATAGATCGTTACAAGTTATAATCTAGATGTGAAATAGATATTATATAATAACTGTTCGGTAATATTTAAACACGCGAAAGTCTATCTCATAAATTTAAATAAATTCTGTATTTCTTCATATAAATCTCCAAAAGACTAATTTTAATAAACTTTATAAGTCGGACATAAGTACTTATGAATATTTTAACATCCTGATAACTTTATATGAATTAATATCGTGTTGAATTAAAATAATTACGAAATTATCTAAAGAGGATAAAATTTTTTCCAGTCAGTTTATATAAACACGACAAATGAAAAAAACTCGTCTATATTTTTTTAAGAATTAGTCTTTCACAATTTTTAAGAAAAGATCAGTTTTCGACGTTGACACTGCGCCTTGCACGAAATATATCCATTATCGAACTCTTACGTATATGGACATTAAAAATGCATTCGTTCATATCTCCTCAGTCTTGGGAGGAAAAATATACGGCGTCTATCTAGATAAATCGAAAGAGGCGAGGAAAAATACACATTCGGGGAAAGCAAGATTAATCGTAAAGAAAGTATTAAAATTCGCTTCGTCAAAAATGTGAAATGTATTATATTAACATTTCTGATATAAATGGAAATATTAAATTATTAATATTTCTTTCAATAAGATTACGACGGATTTTTAAAAAGACTAGTCGGAAAGGTTCCATTGCCAGATATAACATCCGCTGTAAATATTAAACATATTTCTATGTATAGTTTCTTTCATACCGAAATCCCAATTGAATGTTACCTCATGAGGAACCATATGTCGCATGGCGACGTGATTATGCGAATTCATCGTCGGAGAACGCTTAGAGCAATTCTATTCAGACGAAATGATGTTTATGCACGATTTGCGTGATATCCGAATTAATCCATTTCCACACAATGCCGGTCACTCATAAAGCAGACATATGTCCGTCCGCGGTATTATATGCTGGAATTATTCTTCGCGTTTATGGAAGAGAGCCAGAGAGAGGAGAGGCTACCGCGATGCGATAGCCGGAATAAATCATTCAGAGTGATATAACGTCGCCGGTATGAGGAATCGCGGATCGTGGAGATTTCCGGCGCGGGGTGGAATCAAATCTGCCCCATTTGGCAGGGAGGTGTATTATCATAAGAAAAAAGATTATTGAGAACGCCGCCGAGATAAAGTATGTCCGTAAATTGATCGGTCGCTCGGGAGTTTTTCCGCGACGTCGTTTCGGACGCGATTAACTCGGCTTGGATGCGATTTTCGGCCCGCACGATCGATTCGTCGAGCGGGAATCGACGAGACGGGCTGGGGAGAACGACTATTAGGGAACGACAGTTTAAGCCCGCCGACTACACTAGTAAATTCTTTCGTCGTATATCACTTTTTATATTTTCTATTCGCACGATAGGGATCAATGTCACTTCGGGTTAGCGTCTCCCGCGTGTTTCACGTATACGTTGTGCCATTTCATCATATTTTCTAACGATCGTTATGTATTCTGCCAATCTTGGTATTGATCATGACGCGAAACTGCCCGTGCGAAAATACGATACACGGGAATTTTTTCATTTAACATAAAAGAAATTTATACAAATAAAAAGAAATGTATACAAACAAAAACAAAAATATTTGTATAAAGCGTAATATATTCTTCATACAAATATAAGGTATCGAAGCTATATGTATTGTAACTGCAATTTTATTTATTTGAATTTTATCTCTGAAAAGTAAATTTAAAATTCTAGTGATCCATAAGTAAAACAAATTGATATGATCAATACTCGGGTTTAAATTATATTGAACCTACAAAAATATGTCAAATTTCAATAAAATTATCATCACATATAATATTTGCAAACATAACATTTGTATAAAATTACCTATCAAATGTAATATTTGTAAATATAATATTTGTATAAAGTGACATCGAACTTAATATAATAAATCACGTAAGTAAGTCATGGCCATTATGATAACAATCAAGTACATAAATAGAAAATATGCCAATATATAATAATTTATTAGACACGAAAGATTCAACCCTTGGCATTTACTTAAATGTAATAAAATTACACATTAAATTTGTAACTTTATTGTATTGTAACCGCGCTAAATATAAATATGATGACGCTTTTACTTCGTTACAAGTGAGAAAAGATTTAAAAAAACATAACATGATAAAGTAAACATAATGTAAATATAATGTTGCAAAACACAGCAATGCACATCTAGTTTTTAGGCGGAATTTTAAGCAAGCCTAACATTTTATTATATAATAAGTGATATTTATTATAGAAATATTTATTTCTCATTTTAAGTTGTTTATAAAAATACAACATCTGCTGCCGTGATATGACCGTTCTCTCTCTCTCTTTCTCTCTTCAGCTTTAATTTTAAGAACTTTTTTTAACGTGTTGAATAAAAGACTTAGAAGAAACGTATGTACCAAGCTTCTCGCTTGCGCTAATCCTTTTTTTTGGAAAATCCTGAAATTCCCGCAGTGAAACGAGAACAGGAAACTTTCACAGTCATTATTCCACAGCGAGGAGTGAATTTACGTTCGCGGCAGGAAAATTTGGTCGCCTATAAATCTCCGTGGGTTCGTGTTTTTCGCTTAGCGTTTCTAGGATTTTAGCATTTTCCCGAACGTGGTTTCTATCGCGCTGCCGCATAGCAGGACCGATTGGTATTCCGGCTTAGCCGTAACATTCGCCTGACTCTTCTTCCCGCGGCGATTGTTTGCGGGCAAACATTCGGGCAGCGGTAAATGCATCTATAAAAGAGTAGAGTATGGAATTTTACTCGTACAAGATCGTCTTTATGGACGTTGATATTGGCAATCTCTCCACGGCGGGTGACTCCCGATAACGGTGAAAATCAGATTTATAGGCGCACACTTTTACTTGGCGCCTCGTAGAAAATTACCTCTATAGTAGGTGGCGTCCGATATTACGACGTCGAAAATAAGCAAACGAGAGAAAGGGAGTAGATCGGGATTAAACGGTAGAAGCGATTCCGGTAATGCAGCGAGTAATGATGGGCTGGGATAATAAATTCAATAAAGGCGTATGAGAATAATGCATCCGATCGAAGAGACACGAGGCATCCGGAGGATGGATAGGAAAAATATTTTCAATGAAAGGAGGAGAGGGAGGAAGGGAGGGATGAAGGAGAGAGAGAGGGAGGAGGGAGGAGGGGGGGGGAGAGAGAGAGGAGAGAGAGGAGAGAGAGAGAGACAGAGAGAAATCGAGCCGTGGAAATTACAGCAGCGGAAATGGAGCGAGAATTAAACTCCGTGAGGCGGATTAAAATATTTTCACGCGACGATAATTGAGGAATAAAAGATTTTCGCCGTACTCGAATAAATCAAGCGCCTCCTCGGGGCGCGCGCGGCCCCGGATTTCTCTCTCCCGTATCTTATCGAATCGAGATGCCGCGAAGATATATGTGCGATCCTCAGATGGAACGCGAAAGTACTCCGTCCGTATCGCCGGATTCATAAAATAAAAGGAAAGAAAAAAGAAAGCGAGCAGAGGAGCAGATGCCTCTTCGACAAGGCTGGTACAAGACGCCTGAATTTATCGCACAAGATCGATCGCGATCGATACGTCATGACTTTACTTTACGATGTGCCGCCGTGGATTAAAGTCGAGTGCGCGAGAAGACGCGAGGAAGACCGTGTCAGTCAGTCAGATAGAAATGAGGTCTCGATTCGAAATATTTTTTAACAGGCAGATAACCGAACGCCAGGGAGATTTTCGTTCGGCCGGGGAACTAAACTCAAGCTCAACAGCTTGGCCCCGGGTTTTTCCCTTGGCTTCCATCAGATAAAATTGCAAGAGGAGAAGCTGCTTCTAAAGACCCGAGAGGTAAAAGAACCTCCGGGAAGTACCAGTCGGAAAGTGAGGCCGAAATTAAGCGCCGGAGGAAAAGGCGGTGGCGGTGGCGGTGGCAATGGTGAAAATATCCCGTGGTGATGCTCGAAAATGAGAGAAATGTATTCTCGCTTGAAACAAAAGTGAGAAAGAAATGAGCGGGTGTATAGTATTTCGGATATCTCTCTCCTCTTGACCCCAATCTCTCAAAAAATCACGATGCTCTCGCCGGAAAATCTTTCCCTCCGTCCCGGCCCGCGAGGGCCATCGATCACACGTAAGCGTGATGGGACAAAGAGCTTATAATCTGACATCGGCGTGCCAGGAGAAGGACGGTGGAGTGACGGTGAGCGAGAGAAAAAACCGGGAAGGTCCCGTGAAAGAGCGAGGGATAACGAGCGTCAGTGCGAGACAGGAGGGAGACAGGACCAAGAGGGGTTTTCATTTGGTCCTGTCGTAAATAAGAATGAGTAGTTACTCGGCGTATAAGCGCGGCGTATAAGCGCGGCGTACAAGCGCGGCGGAGAGGAGCGTTAAATTCCGCCTCGTGGACGCGGACTGAAATCTCCGTCGCTAAACGGCCGAGATAGTTATTTACGAGATAGCGTAAAGGATAGTTGTCTCGCGCGTGTTTCCCCGAAGGACGACGACCAACGAGCGACCGCGTCCCAGCATCCAGGATGTACGACCCAAGTCCGGCAAAACACTTTGACGGTCGATTCTCCCCGTACGTTACGTGGAATTGCCGTGAACTTAGTGGCGTTTATACGTCGCTTGACAAATGTATCGATCGAGGATGGAGACAAGGAGAAGCGCGACAAAACGACGAAAAAATAAACCTAAAGAGACACAAACGGGAGAAAGAGGGTACGGCATGTGAACGAGAGCAAAGTTCTCGCAACACGTTAACCGGTTCACCCACCGCCGCCTTCGGCGGTTCGAGAGAGTAGTTGGGGGCAGGCGGGGTGGTCTCACCCCCCGGAAAGCTTCGTTTTCTCGCGATAGGCACGGCCGATTAAGAGAGCCGTTACTTCTCTTTACTTTAGTTTACAGTATATAGCTTTCAGTTTATGTGTATTTTGTTAGAAATCTTTCCATTCCTTTAATCTCAAGAATATTTCATTATTTTGACAGCTTTCTTTCTTTCTCCTTAATCGTCGTTTGATTACGATACAATCAAAATGTTTTTTATCGCGTATAGTTTCTTAATAGCTCGATATTCTCCTAAGAGACTTTATTACGAATTAGGAAGAAGTTCTAATTATCCTCAATTATCCTTAATTATCCTCAATTATCCCGAATAAATATCCAAATTGGAAGAAAATTAACTTCTTGATATTAATCTTAAATTTTATATCTATCCTATGCATTTATTCATCAATTTTATTTGAAATTGGCCAAGAATTACAGCTGTAATATATTATAAAATACAACGACACGATAGATATAAAAAGACATAGCGAGACACTATGACATGTATAGCGAAACACACGAGGCGCACTGTATCCATTTCAGTGAGATTTTCAAAAGTGGGCTTTTTCAAGTATCATCATCAATAAAATGTTGTTTTGTTTCTCCAAAATTGGCTTTTTGACGTATAAATCGATACGCTAGACAAAATATTTTTCAACTGAAACGTAAAAATACGATGGCTTCACTAACCTCTCTCAATAATTTCGAGAACATTTATGTAACCCCTCACTGCTGAGAGATCACACCGGTTTTACCTCTAATATTTGTAATTAAGGTTCCAATGTTCCGGAAATATAATATATGTAATATAAAGCACTATGCTTTAATACATCTTTAAATAACCATTGCTTGTTTTAATATACACATTCAAACATTTTGGAATAATTCGCAAACATTTCGTGAGTATGCTATTATCGTGCGGCTTCAATTCATTTTGTATTTTCATGATTAATTAATTAATTAATTATCGTACATTTGGAGTATTAATCAAAATGTATCAACATATCTCACGTCACATACATTGCGCCTTGCAACAATTATCGCGGGTTAATCGTATACGAGCGCAATAAACGTCGGGAGTTTCCCTCGTATTTCTTTGTAGTGAAATCCAAGATGTAGGGAGAGAAACGGTGAGAAACGGAGAGAAAGGGAGGCGGAACGCGAGTTGACGGAGAACGCGGGTTTGTTATTCTCGTACAGCTTTTCTTTCGTTCTTTCAGAATGAGGGTGGCACGGCTATTACTGTGCTGCGTACTTCTCGAAGACTACAGCACCAATCTCGGCGGAACGGCAATTACCAGTGACGCCATGCGCCGCCAAGACGGCTCCTCGTCCGCGACGAATCCGACGCTATCAGGTACATGCCTGTATATACTCATCTGCATATTGCCGGCTGGTTTTTCCTTTTCTCGTTCCTCCGCGTCGCGGAGACGGAAATTCTCGTCAGCGTTAATGGCACGTGCCGAGGAATGCGAGCGAGCAAATATCCCGTATTACCGTTGGAAAAATAAAGGACACTCGTCGCTTCAAGTATCTTTTACTCTCGGTCCCCTCCAATAAACATTGGTAAATGGTCGGAGGGTCTCTCCCCCTCGAATATCTTTCGACTTAACGTATAGCAGGGCTCGCGAGATTATTCTTTATGCTAGATTTAATCCTGCATGAATTAGTTTCTATTTGTCAATACAAATTATCCTCCGTTACTTGGCATTATATGCTAATTGAAATTAATTTGTAAAAAGTATTAAAAAAAACATCATTATATCAACACACGTTCCCTTAGTTTTATAATGCAAATTACTGAAAACAAAATGTATTTAACAACATCCATGATTTTTATTGACCGCAACTGGCGATTAAAATTCTTATTGCGAAAAATATTACCCCAACCAGGATTCGAACCTGGGACCTCCCTCAATCCGTGACGGGCGTCTTAGCCAGCTCGACACAAATGTATTTAATTTATGTTCGTTCACACAAATTATGTTGCAACAAACGTCTTGACTGTAGTAAATCAATGAAATTTTTGATAACAGAAAAAAGATCTTTTCATACATGAAATAATTCTTCCCAAAATTAAATCGGTGTTCCACAATCACCATTAAAATTTAACTCATATTTTAAAAAATGCAAAACGGAATCTCAAGATCAGAAGCCAAGATAGGATTTTAAATAAAATTTTAAGTACTATGTTTTCGGATATTGTACAAAACAGTGAACGTTTCGACTTTACTTTAGTCTTTTACAGCACAGTTGTTAAGAGAACGTGAATTAAAAAGTAAATAAATGCAGGAAAAGCCAGCCGATAAGTAATAAAGTAATATTAGAATAATAGAAGAATAAATTAGGATATCACGTACATTAGCGAGCAACAGTAATGTAACGTGGTAATTTTATATATGTCAAGTCTGTAAGACAGTGTAAGAGATATAAAGAAAGGACGAAATCTATTTTCTGAATGGTTTAACTTAAACGTGCGAATCATAATTTCGTTTGTTTGGAATCGCGAGTACGATCGCGGTGATACGGAGACTATATCTCTTCTAAAGTGCATCGAAGCAGCTTTCCAATTATTTGATAAGATCGCGTGTTTCTCTCGTGTCGATGATCGGGGTGTTTGACCGGCTATAATCGGGGTAAAAGGAATCACTTCGTGTTGCGTGTCGACTTGTAAATAAATGCCGTAACGTCACGTGTATCCTACACGAGCCGGTATCCACTCCGCGACGTCTGAAGGGTTTCCCCGCCGAGCATATAAAGCTTTGTGAAAAATCTGAATAATGCATTGTGAAATATTATCTATACGTGGTAGATTTATACGGTGTTGCGCCGGCGATACGTTGTCTGCCTTTATCATAGAGCCCGATAATGTTTGGCGAAGAAAGGGAGAAAAATTTCCTCACGCAAATCTTGATCCGACACACGAAAGTGTGGGTTAAACAGCTAAAACAGCTTTTCGTTTAAACAAAATAAGGAATGCATCGAAACTAATTTCATTTTCATCGCGGTAGACAAACAAGAAAAATTTATTATTTGCTCACAGAGCTTATTGTTAGTGAAATCTGTCCAGAGCTTTGTGCTTTATGCACTGAATATTAGAAGGAAATTATATTTTCATGTATTGCTACAAATATAATGCTAAATGCAAACAACCTGACAATCAGCTCGCAAAATCCTCAAAGGACCTCTGTTACGTCACTTTTAAAGATTGCATCGATCTCTACAGAATAATTTCTGAAAATACATCTGTAATTATCAGTGCAAACTCGAGTACTTTAATTCAATGGTAAATTACATATATGTCATGAACTCATAAAACTTGTGTAAAATATTTCAAAGAGTTATAACGGCGTTGGACATAACTGTGAGTTTGCAGAGTAAACTCGATGCATGCAGATTTCACGCGCGTTTATTTTTGCGGATTGTTCAGAAATCGCGGCTTACAAACTCGACAGATCGCCTTCATTTTTTCCCTCTTTCACGGTCTCTACAGTCGGGAGCGCATTATCGCTGTCGCGATATTTTATAAAGCTAATCGTCGGTGCACTCAGAGATACGCGGTCGGAAAATCTACGCGTGTCAAAGCGAGAGTATATGATATCCGCATTATTTTTAATCGTCGATATTGTGATAAAAATTGTGAAAGCGTATATGTATACATATACGAAATAACGTTTAACACGATAACATTACTGCACTAATAAATTGTAGAAACAATATTATAATAAATACGATAATTTGTTTTCAAAAACTTGCTAATATGATTAATATATTTTTCGCGAGCAAAATCGTCGTTTTTGTCGCGAAAATTCTCCGCCTCGCGTACCTTACAGTTTGGTAGCGCCAACGCGCAAAATCGTCCGTAACGTAAAAGAAAAGAAAAGTATACGGAACTTTATCAGAGTGATCGCGAGAGGAGAGACGTAAACGAGAGCGGGAGAAGAATGGAGCCGCGGAGAACGTCCCGGTTGGCGAGGGGGATTGTCGTCGTCGTCGTCGTCGTTGTCGTTGCGTCCGAAGTTGAAGTGGTTCCAGTCCGGCCCGGCATTGCAACCGGGTCCATGCCGGTTAGTTCGCCAAGTTTTTCCTTTGAGGATGAAAGATATTAATTAAACTGTCACAGACACGGTAGCATGCGCGCGCGCGAGCGCGCGCACGCGGAACCCCTGCCCAACTTTATTTCGCCACTTACAAGTTTACCACTTAGGCGCCAGCGTACGCGAGCGGGCGGGCGGACCGCTGCAAGTCATCCATTTGCGAATCTAACGCGTGATATTTTATGCGCACGATAGGGAATAGACGGAATCACGGCGGGGCACGCGAAAACGTGACGTATGCATGCAGAAGGATTGGCCAATTATGCGTCAGTATGCCTGACGCTTGATGCACGTCAGAAACAGACAGGTCGTTTATATTGTACATTCTCCTTTTCTTGTTTTTTTCCTCTCTCTCTCTCTCTTTATCATTTTTATACTTTATGTACTCATTCCTGACAAGCGCATTTCAATTACAACTGTGTGCAATGTACGACATAAACATTTTTTAAGCTGCAGAAATTATAACGCGAAATCAAATTTTGGGGAAAATTGTTTCACTCCTCGACAAGAATAATATACTACCATTAATAGTTTCAAGTCGTTGAAATTAATAACCATCGTATATTTTAGTCTCTTTCGTCACCCAATTTTCTCAAATCATGTATGTATTTCAGTTAGATATTTAGAAGGGAAACATCCGTAAAATAAATGATTGTTCTATCTCTACCTACCGTTTTCTTGATTTAACTTCACCTACTTACTCAACACTTTCTGACACCTGACAGCGGTCCCGTTCACTTCTATTTCTATTTTATTTAACATTCTATTTCAATAGTCGATAGGTAAAACTGGAGCGCTATATGTAAAGAGATGAGAACAAAATGCGTACTAAAGCGAAATTTGCTAAGAGCAATTCTTTGTACCGATCCTGCACGGAACAAGTGAAGTTTCATGCTTTTAAACGTAAAATATCTGCAAGCAAGACTTGCCAATAACTGCATCGCCTTAATAATTACATATAAATATAGTGTCTATTCATGTTTTGATGTCAAAAATTTCAAGAATGTAACGTAAACTCAGAGAAAGAATATATTCTATTTGTTAAATCTTAATACATAGCGTAAAAAAGCTGATATGTTAAATAAATAATAAATATAAAAGATTATAAAAATAATTAAATATACTTAGTTGTTTTTTATACCGCGAACATTTTCAGAGTATATTAATGAAAGTGTTTAAAAGCACTTGAAACAGTTCATGTTTATCCTCCTCTTAATGTTAAATTATACCTCATAATTATACATTAAAATGCTACCATTTTAATAGATATGATTTTTTAAAGCAATAATAAATAATTTTTTTAAATTAATTATCAGCTCTCCCGAAATTAGGCAGAAGTTTGCGAAAACTAACTGAGAAAATATAAATGCGACGTGAGACGCGATAATTTGAAGCGATAGATAGCAGCCAATACATCGGATGTGTTGATTTCATTCGTGCAATGATTAAGAGATGATATAATGCAAGTTGCATAGAGCGCTGCTATCATTCGCTTCGGGTAGTATAACGATCTTATCAAATGCCACGGTACGCGCGTGATGTCAGATTCTCGTGTGTAATATACTCGTACGTGTCTATCTACGTAATACGTGACGTCGCAATACGTCTGCCTATTCGCGCTGTGATACGTCATTCCAGATAGTTCCTAATACGGACACATTGTGGGCAAGTAGAAACAGAGCTCTGCTCTAAGAGCTTTGCTTCGGCATTGCTTTAGCTCACCGGCAAATAGATAAGCACATTTTACTTAAGTAAAATCTCGAGATAGTGATAAATAGAAAACCATACAGCCCTACGTTGCAGCTCGAAGGAGAAGCACTTGTGCAATACCTTTTTGCAAATCCGTGGCAAAAAGTTATTTAATTAAATGTAAAATTATAATTCACATTAACGAGTGTGAAAGCAAATTAATCAATTATTATTTGGACAAATCGGTAATTATTCAAGGTACGCAGAGATTATTATGGGCATAAAATAACAATAGAATCTTCAAATAGCAATTCGCAAAATAGATATTTGTGAACACGTTTACAAACAACCCGGCAACGGACCATGAATACGGATCTATAATTAATCGCGCTTTCAGCCAGAGATTGAAAATAATCCGCGATTATCTTCGGCGATTGAAATATTAAGCGAAAACCGGTTTTTAACGTTAAAATTTTACGTTCCAGGTAAGCGCGGTAAAATTCCAGAAATATTACTCCGATCGTCAAAAGTCGGATTAAGATGCGAGATTAAAGTTTCGCATTTAGCGTCG